GAACAATCAGATTCAATTTCCTCTGATAAGGAAGAATGTTAATTTTCTCCTCTGCTTTATGAAAGTTCACCTGCATGTTATGAATATTGTGGTTGTTACATGCCAATATGACATTTGGAAAAAAACTCTTCAGACATAATAACAGTGAAGAATCTTTCAGCGGTACGTGGATGAAGTGGAGCACCAAGCATTAATTTTGCAGACGAGGAAGACGGCAGTAGTAATTTTATTCTTTTTTTTTTTTTTTTTTTTGCTGCAAGAGTCCTCAGTGAAAGAGCCCGTTTTTCCCTTCCTGAGGGGCAGTGTTTCATAGAATCATTGAGGTTGGAAGAGACCCTTGGGATCATGGAGTCCAACCATCTCCCCTACTCTACAAAGTCCTCCCCTACACCATATCCCCCAACCCCACATCTAAACAACTCTTAAACACATCCAGGGATGGTGACTCCACCCCCTCCCTGGGCAGCCTGTTCCAACGCCCGACCACTCTTTGGGTGAAAAATTCCTTCCTAATGTTCAATCTAAACCTCCCCTGTTGGAGCTTGAAGCCGTTCCCTCTCCTTTTGTCACTAATGACCTGTGAGAAGAGACCAGCCCCAACCTCTCTACAGTGTCCTTTCAAGGAGTTGTAGAGAGCGATGAGGTCTCCCCTCAGCCTCCTCTTCCTCAAACTTTGCTTTGAGGAGGAAGCTGTGGAGGAAGGGGGTAGCCGTGGTGTTCAATGGTTTGAAGGGTGAGATCTGAGCTGCGTGTCCTCTCTCCCGGGCGCAGGCTGTGACAGGCTGTGAGGACTGCCTGGCTGCCCTGCTGGACCACGATGCCTTCGTTCTGTGTCGGGATTTCAAAGGCCGGACCCCCATCCACTTTGCCTCGGCGTGCGGGCACTTAGAAATCCTGAGGACCCTGCTGCAGGCAGCCCTCTCTACTGACCCTCTGGACTCTGTGGTGGACTACAGCGGCTACTCACCAATGCACTGGGCTTCATACAGTGGTAAGGACCCCTCCCCACCTCTGCTGGGGCTGCTGGTGGGGAGGAGGGAGCCGGGAAGAGCTGGGTTATCCCTCTGCTTATCCCTCTGCTTTGGGAGCCAACAGCCCAGCAGAGGAATCATAGAATCATAGAATTGCCCAGGCTGGAAGGGACCCCCAAAGGGCATCTCGTCCCACCCCCCCGCAGTCAGCAGGGACACCCCCAACTAGACCAGGTTGCCCCATCCAGCCTCCCCTTGAATATCTCCAGGGAAGGGGCCTCAACCACCTCCCTGGGCAACCTGTTCCAGTGCTCCACCACCCTCACTGAATTTCACTGAATTTCACTGAATTTTAGAGTTGGAAGGGACCATAGAGATCATCTAGTCCAACCCCCCTGCTGAAGCAGGATTGCCTAGAGCCAGAGCGTGTTACTCAGGAGCATCCAGGAGGGTCTTGAAAATCTCCAAAGAAGGGGACTCCACACCCTCCCTGGGCAGCCTCTTCCAGGGCTCTGTCACCCTCACCGTGAAGAAGTTTCTCCTCATATTTGAGTGGAACCTCTTCTGGTCCAACTTGTGCCCGTTGCCCCTCGTCCTCTCCCAGTGAAGAACCCTCTCCTCATCTCCAGTCTCAATCTGTTCCCCTCCAGCTTGAAGCCATTGCCCCTCGTCCTGTCACTGCAGCCCTTTCTAAACAGGCTCTCCCCAGCCTTCCTGTAGCCCCCCCTCAGGTACTGGAAGGCTGCTCTTAGGTCTCCCTGGAGCCTCCTCTTCTCCAGGCTGAACAACCCCAGCTCCCTCAGCCTGTCCTCGGAGCAGAGGTGCTCCATCCCCCTCATCATCCTCGTGGCCCTCCTCTGGACCCTCTCCATCAGGTCCATGTCCTTCTTCTATTGAGGGCTCCAGCCCTGCACACAAGACTCCAGGTGAGGTCTCACCAGAGCAGAGCAAAGTGGCAGAATCCCCTCTCTGGACCTGCTGGCAACGCAGCTTTTGATGCAGCCCAGGATGGGATTGGCCTTCTGGGCTGTGAGTGCCCACTGCCTGCTCATGTCCAGCTTCTCATCCACAAAAGGACAGCACAAATCAGCTTCCCTGCCAGAGAGGAAGCAGAACATCTGCCCCTGTGCCGGGGAAGGGGTCGGTTTAGGTGCTTTTTGGTGCCGCTCGTCCTGTGCAGCCACTGGGTCCCCTTTGGAGGTGGGGGGAACCGGAGGGGCCCCGTTACGGGTGAGGAACCGCCGGCTGGGTGCTGAGGTGTTTCTCTCCCTCTCTCCTCACAGGACATGAAGATTGTCTTGAATTGTTACTTGAACACAATCCGTTTGCGTACCTAGAAGGAAACCCCTTTACTCCATTGCACTGTGCAGTGTAAGTGGCAGCTGGGACCTGCCCTGGGTTCTTCCCAATCGAGTGACCTGGGAGAGGGGACACGGAGCTCCAAACCCTTCCTGTCCTGCCAAGGGCTCTTCCTGAGCAGCAGCAGCTCCTCGGGGTGGTTCCACCAGCCCATCCCAGCTCCCCTGTGCCGGGGAGGGGGTCAGCAGCTGGATGTCTGGGGGTCCCCAGGAGCTGTAGCAGCACAGAGTCCTGTGCCAGCAGGCTTTTGGCTCGATGGAGCTCATGGAGCTGGTGGTTCAGCCCTTGCCACCCCTCTTGGGTGGCTCCTCTTTGGTTGGGGAGCATCTCAGGAAGTCTGTAAGATTTCCACCAGTGGGAGAAGGGCTCCACGTTGTCCCAAAGCTGCCTTCCTGACAGGGCTGTTTGTTGCCTGGCACGGTGTTGTGTTTCTTTGAGTACAACCCAGGAGGGTGAAGGGGATCTTATGCCCTGAACGACCCCAAACCCGCTGCCGTTTGCGTCCCAGCCCCAGGAACGCGCCGCTCGCCCCCGCTGCGGAGGTGCTGGTGCTGCTCAACTCTTGGTTTAACTTTTCCTTCTTGTCCCCGCTGCAGAATTAACAACCAGGATGGCACTGCTGAAATGCTGGTGGAAGCATTAGGTGCCAAGATTGTTAATAGCAGAGATGCCAAAGGAAGGTGAGTTCAGCCTCGTCCCCGGCGCTGCCGGGGGGTGGCCGTGACTTCCCCTGGCACAGGGGGGGGGACTCTGACATCCCCAAACGTGTCTGTGGGCTGGGGTGTGGGTGCCGTGCCCTCCTCTTGACCCGCTCTCTCTCTCCTCTTCCCAGGACACCCCTTCACGCTGCTGCCTTTGCAGACAACATCCATGGTTTACAGCTGCTTCTGCGCCACCAAGCCGAGGTGGACGTGACCGACAAGCTGGGGAGGACTCCCCTCATGATGGCTTCAGAGAACGGGCACACCGCAGCGGTCGGTAGGTGCTTTCCACAGCGTAGGGGCTACAAACCCTCCCTCTGCCCCCTCCATCCCCCAGGGAGCCGGGCTGTCCCTCTCCTCCTGAGCACGCTGGGGCAGCTGCCCCGCTCCTGCCCCACAGCACGTGGCCGCTGCCCCACGCTGCCGGGTTCTGCGCCGCTTCTTCTCCCCAGCAGCTCTTTTCCCTCCTCTTTTTTCAGAGTTCCTGCTGTACCAAGCGAAAGCAAATATAACTGTGCTGGATGTCAACAAGAACACAGCTCTTCACCTGGCCTGCAGCAAGGTAGGGAGCTGCCCTCACCGTCACTTTCTGCCTTCCCACTGGAATGAGAGGGGCTGCTCCTGCCCCTCCAGAGCAATGGTGGAGGCCCTCATCTCACTCCACCTTCCCTCTGACCTGTCCTCACCTGCTCCTGGTTCCCTTTGGAGCAGTTTAGGTTGTAGCATGGCCCCTGGGGGGGTATTTTTCCTGTCCCCTCTGAGCTGGCAGCGCTCCCTGGGGTGTGGTGGGAGTGGGAGGTTTGGGATTGGTGTGTCCACCACACCAGAGGGGGATGCTGCAGAGGGGATGGTGGTTGGTCTTCTTGGGCCCTGCTGAAGCAGAGAACTGGGTGAAGATGGTTGGGTTTAGGGAACGTTTCCGCGTCCCGGGGAATCGTGTTCCACTCGGTCCCCTCCAGTGCCCCTGCGCTGTCAACAGCCCGGTCTGCTTTCCAGGGCCATGAAAAGTGTGCCTTGTTGATCCTGGGGGAAACCCAAGACCTTGGCCTTATCAATGCAAGTAACAGTGCTCTGCAAATGTGAGTATTTGGGCAGCTGGCACTTGGGGGGGAAGGGGGGGAGAAAGCAGGGCTCTGCGGGGTGGGGGTGATGCCCCTGTGGCGGGGGGAGCTCGGTGTGTGAGCTCGGGAGGCGTCAGACCCCGGGTTTCTACCCTCAGAGCCACTCGTGGGTCCCCTTGTTTGAGCTCAAGGAGGTGTTGGGCCGGGGGGGCTCCGCTGCCAGGTTAAATCCACCTTTCCCTCTCCCCCCTCCCCAGGCCGCTCCACATCGCAGCTCGGAACGGGCTGGCCTCCGTCGTCCAGGCCCTGCTCAGCAGAGGTGCCACTGTGCTGGCTGTGGATGAAGAAGGTGCGTCTTCCTCGCGGGTGCATCTTGTTGTGGGGGGTCAGTATGATGTCCCTGGGGGGCTGGGGGCCGCCCAGGAAGCGCTCAGCTGGGATCTGAGGGGTTTCTGTGAGAACACAGCACGTTCTCAGCTCTTGGCATCGCCCGGGTGAGGCCATCAGGTCCCTGTGATCCCCTGTGGAAGCATTTGCACGTCCTGCAGGTGTTTGGAATATATCTTTTACCCCCCCCACCCCAGGGGAGAAAGCGGGGCTCGGGGGGGTGGGGGTGATGCCCCTGTGGCGGGGGGAGCTCGGTGTGTGAGCTCGGGAGTCGTCAGACCCCGGGTTTCTACCCTCAGAGCCACTCGTGGGTCCCCTTGTTTGAGCTCAAGGAGGTGTTGGGCCGGGGGGGCTCCGCTGCCAGGTTAAATCCACCTTTCCCTCTCCCCCCTCCCCAGGCCGCTCCACATCGCAGCTCGGAACGGGCTGGCCTCCGTCGTCCAGGCCCTGCTCAGCAGAGGTGCCACTGTGCTGGCTGTGGATGAAGAAGGTGCGTCTTCCTCGCGGGTGCATCTTGTTGTGGGGGGTCAGTATGATGTCCCTGGGGGGCTGGGGGCCGCCCAGGAAGCGCTCAGCTGGGATCTGAGGGGTTTCTGTGAGAACACAGCACGTTCTCAGCTCTTGGCATCGCCCGGGTGAGGCCATCAGGTCCCTGTGATCCCCTGTGGAAGCATTTGCACGTCCTGCAGGTGTTTGGAATATATCTTTTACCCCCCCCACCCCATGCTGTCGGGCTCTGCTGCCGGGCACAAACCCAGCGCGGCGATAAGCTGTTGACTCACTTGCAAGTTTGGCAGAACCTGGTGGTTGTGGCCAGAAGCTTTTTCTCCCAGCTCAGTTCTCGCTCTGCTGGAACACCTTTAGCTTGTGAAAAATCCCCTTTTTGTGTCTGCCCAGAGCTTCGTATTCCCCTTCCCCTGGCCCTGGCAGGCTGTGGGGTGGCTGCTGCCATCCCGGGCATCGCCAGTGCCCAAAAGGAGGGTCTTTTGAGACAAAGACAAAGGGGTGCCCCGGTCCGTCAAGGCGGGGGTGACAACTGCCCCGGTTGAAGCATTTTTCTCTGAGAAAAGCCCCCATCCAGGGCCGTTCCTCACCCCCCCGGCTTCCTCCCTAGGTCATACCCCAGCCTTGGCCTGCGCCCCCAACAAGGACGTAGCCGACTGCCTGGCACTTATCCTCTCCACCATGAAGCCTTTCCCACCTAAAGACGCCATCAGCTCTTTCAGCTTCAACCTCCTCAAGAACTGCGGCATCGCAGCCAAAACGGCCGCCTGCGGGGCCCTGCCCAACGGCACCTCCTGCCCCTACAGCAAGGACCGGCACAACGCCATCGGCCTGGACGGCTGCTACTCCGAGTAGCTTAAACTATGGGTGACCTAATATCTTATTATATTTATTTAGAAATTCTATAAATATAGGGCACTTTAAAGGAGAACAAGACTGGGCGGGCCTAGCGTGGCCGGGTAAGGCCTAGAGTTCAGGGCTTCCTCTTCCCGCTGGGTTGCCAACCCCCGCTGCCAAAGCTGTTAATTGTTTTAACGAGCAGCTTTAACGGCAGCTTTCCATCCCCGTTTCCAGACCCCGTTTCCATCCCTGGCTCCGTCCTCTCCCCGTTGGGATGTGCTGGAAGCCCCTCCGACAGCCGGGCAGGAGACGGGTGCCGCGGCCTAGGGCTTCTCCCGGCGGGGACCAGGCCGGTGCCGCCATGGCTGGCCCGGGGCCGGGGCAGGGGTCTGTCCCCCAGCTTATGGGGAGGGTTGTGATGGGTTTCCCGGTGCCCCTCGTCCCCGGGACACCCCCCCGGGGGCTGCCCCCAGCGGGGACGGGGAAGCCTGAACTCTGGGTGGGATGGGGAGGGATTTGGGGGGGGTCCCGCGGGCGCCGGGGGGTGTGTGAGCTCCCGGCCAAGTGCCACCGTCACTGCTCCTCTTGGCAATCACTTCTTCTCCTCACGCTTCAGAGTCCAATACAAACACTTGAATCGAGATCTACTGTACCTGGGACACTAAAAATACCCTTTTGGCAGCTGTCATTTATATGCAAAAACGGGTGCTGCTGCCCAGCCCCGCGGCGGAGGCTGCGGGGGCGCTGCTGGAGCCTCCCCCCCCCTTCTCCAGGCACTTTAGGGATTCTCTTCTGGGTTGGGTTGGGTTGGTTGGTTTTTGGTTTTGTTTTTTTTTTTTCTTTTTCCTTGGCAAATTGTCGGATCCGAAAAAACGATTCTTTTTTTTTTTTTTTTGAATTTTTCGTTCTCTGTTTCGCGTGGCCGTTTCCCAGCCAGAGTCAGTGTTGCTTGGGTTAGGTGTTTTTTTTTTTTTAAAAGAAGAAAGCTATTTATAAAGAAACAAGCATTTACCTTTAAAAAAAAAAACAACAAAAATCATAAAAAAAAATTCTGAAAGTTTTAGCCTTCTAATAAGGAAACAAATGCACTTCAAAGTCCTTATTCACAACCCTCAGTAAGTTTGTTTATTTTTCTACTGCAGCATCGTGGCAGGTTTAGGGGTGTGTACGTGGCGTCGCTGGGGTTTTGTTTGGGGTTTTCTTTTTTTTTTTTTTAATTTTTGAAATCATATTTATGATGCAGGTTTGAAGCATTGGAGAATGTTGCACTGTTTGGGGGTTTGTTGTTTTTTTTTTTTTCCTGTTGGGTTTTTATTTTATTTTTTCTTTCTCCTTCTGAGTTACTGTAACAGCATCATGTGCAAACAAACAACCCTCTTTCTCCATATCACGAGTCTGTTCAAAGCCAAAGATGGGGCTGCAGAGACGGAGAGGGGGCTGATGGGGGCAATGAGGTGTTTTGGGGACCCTCTTCTTCCCCCCACCCCTTCCCTGGTGGGCTCCCCCCAGGAGGGGAGCAGGGAGAAAGGGGGTGCCCCCTCTTTGCCGGCGAGGGGAGCCTCGTGCCACGGCTCTTTGCCCGGTGGTTCAGAGAGAAAAAGCATTTCTGTAACCAAAATAAGGTATTAAGTCTACTTTTTTTTTGTCTTTTTTTGTTTGTTTGTTTTAAATTAGTTTCTAAATGAAGGTGGCTCCTGTCCAGGGGGGGGGTTGTCGGGTTGAGCTGGAGCCGGCCCTTCCCGGGGTTGGGGGGGGGGATCTCCCAGTGGGTGCTGCCTCTCGCACTGTTTCTTTCTTTTACCAAAGCCAAACTCTTAGAACCAAATAATGAAGTTTCAGTCTTGGCCTTTGGGTGAGAAGCACATTTTCTTCACGTTTCACGTAGGAGTTGTTTTCCCCCGGAGGGGAGGGGGGGTCGGGGACACCCCCTCCCCGTTCCGTGGCTCTTGTTGGGCACCGGAGGAGCTCGCTCTCCCCCGGCCCCTTTCCAGCCCCTCGGTGGGGTCCAGGAGTGGGGACCCCACGGGGCTGTTTCCCTGCTCTGGGGGGGGGTTTCCCTTCCTCCTGGCCACCCCCACGCTGGGGAAGGGTCCCCTCCCCAGCCTCCCCCCCTCTCGCTTGAAAGAAAGTGTTAACCTTTCTGCACCGAATACCTCAGTTCGGAACCAGAATAAACTCAACGAAACTTGAATAAAAAAAGATCCTTTTTGAAGATCCTTTTCAGTATTCTACAGAGGAGAACTGGAAAAAAAAAGAGACTTGTTTACATTTTGCTGTCGAGTCCGCACTTGCCTCTTGCAGCTCTTTTCCCTTTCTGGGAGGAATTTTAGGCATCACTTTATCTCTTCTTCTTCTCGCTGCTGGCCCTCGCCCTCCCCACGGGGCAGGAAAATGGGTCCAAAGTCCTGAGCCGTGTCGTCTTCAAGGGCTAAAGTACTTTTTTCTGGCCCAAAGAGGGGCCGAGGCTCCTGTCCCCTGGGGACGGAGCGGGGCAGAGCCCCCGGGGCTTCGATGGCTTCATCCTCCCCGGAGAGATGCTCGGGCTCCTGGGAGAGCTTGGGGGGGCTCCTGGGGGGGACCCTGGGGACCCTCGACGCCGTGGGGCTTTGGGGGGGCTCCCGGGGATGGGCCCCCAGCACCATTTCACTTGAACAGGAGTTTTTTGCTGTAGCCAGGGTGAGAGCTCCTCGGAGCACACGGAGAATGCTGCTTGTCCTTCACCACCTCCCTGCCCCCTTTATTTTTTTGGAGTATTAGTGTGGTTTTCGGTTTGTCTAGAGAGGAAAACTGATCGATCTCTCTTTTTTTTTGGCCTTGTTTCCGTGCTCCGACGTGTTCCCTTCGCTCGACACCACGATTTAAAAAAAAAAAAACAAAAAAAAAAAAACAAAAAACGACGACGACGAGACAATCAATGTGATCTCTGTAAGGGCTTCTCCGCTGCTTCCCCGCTCCCCTCCTCCCCCTGGGCTCCTAGGAAAAATAATAATGAATAATAATAATGACTAATAATAATAATAATAATAAAATATTGACGGAGGGAAAGGAGGTTTCAGCAGCGCATCCGTGGCCTTGGGAGCACATGGGAGGGATCCTGGGGGGGGTGGTGTGGGATGGGGAGGGGGGACACACACACGGCCAGTTTCCTTGGGGGGTCCCAGTCTTGTTCTCCTTTAACGCTGTATCGTATCCATCGACAGCACAGCTTGACAATTTCAGTAATAATCCAAGTGTTTGGTAATAATGCATTATTTTGCTAAACGAGATTTGTGATGGTTTCCCCTTAGTGCATTGTAAAGAGGGATGGAGGGAAACTTCCGCTGCCCTGCCCGACCCCCCCACCTCCTCCTCCTCCTCCTCCAGCCCCCCCACAACGACCTGGGGGGGCCCAAATTTTCCTCCCCCCAACCTTTATGCCAA